AGCTGGAGGGCAGTGGAGGCTGAGGGTGACAAAGTCCCTTGTTTTTCACTTTCCTGGCGTTTTTCTCCTTTTTCAGAGACATATTAACTTCCAGAAAGCAAATATGCTGCCACCCAGAGGGACAATCAGCAGCCAAAGGCAGTTCAACGGTTTTCAGGCTGTGAGCTACTAATAAAAGAGTGAGGCCACCCTGGATGGTGGCATAGACAGGGCTTTGGACACAGAAGTTCTGTTAGGTACCAGCTGTGTAATCATGGGCAAGTCACACGGCCTCTTGGTGCCTTGGCAAAATAGGGGTCAGGGGCCCCAGGTCCCAGCTTGATTTATAGGGTCATGAGAAATAAATGAGATCCTTTATAGAGAGAATAAGCAACATAGGACAGACACTTGAAAAGAGCGCAATAACTGTTCGTGCAGATGTCCTTCTGATAAAGGAAGATGGACAGGATCAATCCCTGGGAAGCATGCTGCTATGGTTTGAATGTATGTCCCTTTCAAATTTATATGTTGAAACTTGGGCCAGATATAATAATAATAAGTGATTAGGTCTATAGAACTCTACTCTCAACAATAAGTGTTGGTGAGGATGTGGGGAAAAGGCACACTCATACACTGCTGGTGGGACTGAAAATTGGTGAAGCCAATCTGGAAAGCAGTATGGAGATTCCTTGGAAAAATTGGAATGGAACCACCACCATTCAACCCAACTATCCCTCTCCTCGATCTATACTCAAAAGACTTAAAAACAGCATACTACAGGGACACAGCCACATCAATGTTTATAGCAACACAATTCACAATAGCTAAACTGTGGAACCAACCTAGATGCCCCTCAGTAAATGATGGATTTTTTAAAATGTGGCATGTATACACAATGGAATATTACTCAGCAATAAAAGAGAATAAAATTATGGCCTTTGCAGGTAAATGGATGGCGTTGGAGAAAATAATGCTAAGTGAAGTTAGCCAGTCTCCAAAGAACAAATGCTGAAAATTTTCTCTGATATAAGGTGACTGACCCATAAGTGGGTAGGGAGGGGAAGCATGGGAGGAATAGATGGACTCTAGATAAGACAGGGGGGTGAGAGGGGAAGGGAGGGAGCAGGGGGTTAGCAATAATGGTGGAATGTGATGGACATCATTATCCAAAGTAAATGTCTGAAGACATGAATTGGTGTGAACATACTTTATATACCAACGGAGATATGAAAATTAAGCTCTATATGTAATACAAATTGCAATGCATTCCACTGTCATGTATTTAAAAAATAAAATCAAATATTTTTTTAAAAAATGAATGGATTAATGGCCCCGTGGAAAGGATGGAGGGAACTAACAAGCTTGTTTTTGCCCTTTTGTCCTCTACCACGTGAGGACTCACCAAGAGAAGCAGATAGGACCCTCACCAGACATTAAACCTGCCAATACCTTGATCTTGGACTTCCCAGCCTCTAGAATTGTGAGAAAATACATTCTGCTGTTCATAAATTTCCCAATCTCAGGCATTTTGTTACAACAGCACAGAGTAAGATGTGTCTTACAGGCAAGCTGGCTTCCTGTCTCTCAGAGTGGCAACACACACTGCTTCACCCTCTCTTACTCAGGGCCTCACAGCCACCAAGAAGGCTCAGAAAGCAATCCGTCTGCACTCTGCCCCAGAGCTGTCTCTCTGGGACTGTCTCTTATAGCATACTCTCCTCTCTTGAGTGGCTAAGAAAGCCAGGGTCGGGGTGGGGGTGGGGGGGTATTCACCTCAAGGCTCTACCTGTGGCTGGGTCCAGAGGACAGCATCTTCTACTGGCATGAGCAGGGCCCATGTTAACCTCTATGGACAGCCGCTATCTTTAGATCTACTACTGCTGTGACTCACAGTACTCTGTGACAATCATTTGCCAATTTGCTGTCAGCAGCATTACCACCTTCTTTGCTCTGCTCTATCAGAGGGGCTGGGTCCCCATAAACTGCATTTCCCAGACTCCCTCCAACTAGCCCCTACTGGTTCCCGGAAGGGGCAGCACCACGGGCAGGGGACTGGAAGGTGGGAGGAGAAAAGTAACTCGCTTTTCCCTCTGGTCTCCAGTGGGGTCTCTGGCAATTGTGATAGCTCTGGTGACATCTAAGGGTGACAGCATCAGTATTGAGGACTCTGGCCAAGCAGTGCTGTCCCTGAGTTCCTGCCATAGCACCTCAGTTTTACAGCCAGGGCCCTGCGACTACACCAATCCTGGGTCCCACAGAGACCTCCCTTGCTCCTCCAGTCAGATGGCAGCACTTTCCTGTTGCTGCTGGTTTCTGGGTGACCCTACCTCACCACCACTCCCCTTGCAGCCCTTCTAGAACCCTTATTTCCAATTTCTGAATTAGATGCCCTCAGTGGAAAACTCGGGATGGCTTCTGTTTCTCACCAGACCAGGACTACTACCTCATTTCAGTGACCACCCATGAGTCAGTTCTTCAAGGTAGGATAGTGCATCTCTGGTCGGGCCTGCTGTGCTCTGATTTTTAAGTTTAATCTCCAGGAAACCAGTCTTGTTGTTATTTCCCCATTTCCCACACGTTCTTGAATGAAGCCACCCCAAGCCGCCCCCCTCACCATCCTCCTACTGCCATTCACTTCCCCTTTTTGAACCTTGAGGAAGACATAGCAGTAATCTAAAAAAAAAAAAAGTGGAAGTGGATGTCCTGGGTCCCGCAATCCTACCTCTAGGAATTTAACATCATAATTACCAAAGAGCAAAAATATGTAAGCTCATATATATTCCTTACAGCATTTACTTATAATAATGAAAAGTTAGAAGCATAAGGAGAAATTGTTTATGCAAATTTTGCTCTCTAAATAGCATCTTATTTTAAAATGAAAAGACTTCCATCTTCTATTTTCGAGATTAGAGAAAATGAAAGGTTAGAGAAGAGCAGGAATACTGTGATCACAGGTAAGATTTCACACACATAAGATTTACACATAGACACAAATGTTACAAAGTGTGGTTGCTAAAATATGGACAGTTGGACTGGGGATATGGCTCAAGCGATAACGTGCTTGCCTGGCATGTGGGGGGAGCTGGGTTCAATCCTCAGCACCACATAAAAATAAAATAAAGATGTTGTGTCCACCAAAAACTGAAAAATAAATATTAAAATATTCTCTCTCTCTCTCTCTCTCTCTCTCTCTCTCTCTCTCTCTCTCTCTCTCTCTCCCTCCCTCCCTCCCTTTAAAAAAAAATAAATAAATAAAATAAAATATGGACCATGGTTATCTCTTGGGAGTGGAACTTTCAGTGGGCTTTATATTCACAAACCACCTAGTGGGCTCTGGCCAAAGGTTCAGTCACTGCATCTGTATTTAGGATTTATATACCAGGCCCTCTTTTTCTTGAAAATTTTCTATTTTTATTGCTTTTAATCTAATGCAAAGGAAGTCAGATCAAATTGAAATAAGAGGCTATTCAAAGAAAAATGAGTAAAATCTGATGCTCCCAGGGGCTGCTGTTGAATGCCAGGTTGGCTCTTCTTCAGCTGAAGGGAGGACTGAAGGGCAGTCCCTTTGGTCCATGGGCTCTCTTCCTGAAAATATGAAAATGTGAGTAAGGCTGAGGGCCTCAGACCTGGAAGGCAGATCAGACCAAGGCTGCCTCCAAATGATTCAGGACCCAGGAAAGAGGAAGTAACAGTAACCCAATAACCATAACAGGGCACTTGGGCAGCACTTCCTGGAGTGCCTAGCCCCTTCACCTCCATGCTTGATTCACGGAGCAGGTGTCAACCCCATTGGATACAGGTTAGGAGACCAAGGCTCAGTCACCCAAAGTCAAACCACAAGAAACCTGTTCTACCTGTGAGTGACATTGTCACCACACCCTGTGGCTTCTCCTCCATCCCCTTCAAATTGGTTACAAGCTGGAACCCTTGATAATCCCTTTCTGTGAGACACTAGGCTGGGAGGCCCTGGGGGACAGGAACCTGATCACATTCATTCTTGTGTCCTCCCGCCCCACCCTGGAGCACCAGCGTTGTTGACATCAGTAAATGTCGAATTGGAATGAACTTCACTAAAACTTCCTTAGAAGTGAGTGGCTAGAACTAACATACCTGCCTCAGAAAGAGAGAGCGAGAGAACCATATAAAAGTTTTAGTTTGAAATTGAAGACTTTAGGCAGCTGTGGGGTACAAAGACAAGCAGAAGTTGCTGGAAAACAAGGTAACCTGAACTGGCCAGAATCCCAAAGCAGGCAGCCCCTTACAGCTCAGTCTCCATTCAAAGCTGTCTTAGACCAGCATCAAAATCTCCTTGGAGTTGATTAGAGATGCTAAGTCTCAGCTCCCACACTCATTCCCTCCCCCAAGCTGTGGAATTAGAGTCTATTTTAACTGCCCTCCACATGGTTCCTGCACACCCAAGTCTGAGAAGCGCCAGGAGGGGTGGGGGTGGGGGGCTGCAGGGACCAGGCTGCTACCAGCACCAGGACACAAGCTGGGAGCCCTGCAAAGGCTGGGGATGGAATTTTACTCTGCGAAATGTGGTTTCAGACCCTTGGTTTGTTTCTGGAAAAGGAGCAGCATGTTTGCTTCTGGCAAATGAGCATAACTTACTAAAATTCTCAAATAGGAGGGAGTCAGATGGGGAGAGTTATCTCAGATTTCTGAGATTTACCTAAATAAATGGATTTCAACCAGGGGACACTGGAAATGTCTGGAGGCATTTTAGGTTGTCCCGGTTAGGAAGGTGGAAGTTAGGAAGTTGTCACAGTCGGGAAGACTACAGTCATCTGGTGAGTAGAGGGAGGCCAGGTTTACTGGATCCACCCATTTTGCCCAGTTACTTGGGTCCAGAAGGAAGGAATGGAGAAATGGGAGTTTTAAAAACTCATGAGAAGTATTAGAAGGCCACTCTTCATAGATAAGAGAAAAGGTGAAATAAGATGCCAGGAGGGCGGGGCCAGGCCACAGAGTCCTGGAAAGAGGGCAGATGGAAGGAGGAAATGGGCACCCACAGGCTAACATCCAGAAAGTGGATATAAAAATTTTTATTTATTATACAAAATACTTTCTTATTATAAAAAAAAAGACTTAAATACCCACTCCCATTTTCCCAAATACATCAGTCTCTTTTCACTTCTCTATTTTCCAGACTTCTTGAAACATGGTTATAATGAGAAAAAATATAAATTCGTTTCTCAGAAAAGATTTTTAAGAAGTAATGTGTGAAAGTCACCAGAGGGGGATACACCATCGTCAGCTCAAGAAGGAAACTCTGGAGCTTGAATTAATGCTTTGGTGACAGTTTTTTCTCCCGCTGTCTCCCCACATCACACACAAGTCACAGGAGGTGGATGGGGAGCAGGGTTCTCCAAATGTCTTGCCCAGGCACATTTTCTGCCTGGAGCTCAAAACAAAAGAAGGGCATTTGAAAGGCCAGGAGGGTCCACAGGATGGGGCCGCCCAGCCCGAGAGCTGAGAGGCAGCTTCCAGACTGACGTGCCAGGGACATCCATTCTGCTGATCAGAGCAACGGTTCTTTTACTGGGTTTGCTTGACTCCCAGGGACCCCCCCCCCCCCCCCGGCAGGGAGGCCTTGTGCACTGGGCACCTCTTGTCTTGGATGACCCAGCAGCGCTCTTACTCCATTAGTTGGCATCTGGGGCATCCGGCAGGGGCTGGGGCTGGGGTCCCAGGGATGAGGCCAGTTTAGTGAGGGCCCTCGCTATGACGTCCAGGTGGCCATTCATCGTCCGCAGCTCCACCAGTATGTCCCCGACGTTGGCCTCCAGGCTGGCAGTGGCGGCGGGCCGCGAGCAGGGCGGCGGGGAGGCGCGCGGGTCCTCGGTGCCCTCCTCCTTGCCCGCTGCGCCAGGGCGCGGGGCATGGCCTGTGTCCTGACCCTGGGCGGACGTCCGCTCCCGCTCATCCCTGCGGACGCAGGGAGAGGTGGCCGAGGGGCAGCCGGGCAGCCAGTCGACAAGGCGTGGGGCAGCCTCGGGGGAGGAGGCGACGACCGTGTAGAGGCCAGCGCGGCGAGGGGCGCCGGAGCCAGGGGGCGCGCCGGCGGGGAGTGATGGCGGCAGCAGCGGGGTCAGCACCGCGGGGCCCGGGGAAAAGACCTGTGGTTCGCAGGAGGAGGAAGGGGAAGGCAGGGCGGTCGTGGAGGGACCAGGCTCCTCCGAGGAGAGGAACAGGGTGGTCGAAGACTGCGAGTCCAAGGTACTGGGCTCTGAATCTGTCAAGGGAGAAAGGAGAGAGGGTCACTCAGCCATCCATACCCATTGGCATTTATCAAGTGCCAATTCTGTGGCCAACTCCATGCTAGGTATTTGAGGAAATGAGTGAAAAGGTGGAAATAGATTTCCTACCCCTCCGAGCTTGCAATCCAGTAAGGAAGAGTGGGTTATCTAGTAGCTAATGTCTCAAGAAAGAAATGGGCAGGGCTGGTACAGAAACCAGGCACCCGGAAGGCATCCTGGTGAGAGGATCTCCACTGGGCCTAGAAAGGTAGTACTGGCAGGAAGACAGAAGGCGTTTCAGGCAGGGGATGACCTTGCATCCCATTTGGGGGCAGTCTGGCCAAGGGCAGTAGGTGAACACTTGACAAGAGGACCCTTGCCTAGGATTCTCAGAAACAGAAGTGGGCTAAACAGATGACCCCCCAACACAATCCCAGAGTCTCTGGATGAATTTCAAGGAGTTCAGGGCCAGGAGCCAGATGACCTTAGTGCTCAGTTTGCCAAACAAGGCCATAGGACAGGGCAAACCCTGTTTCTCCTTTGGAACTTGATTTCATTTCTCCAACCATTCAAGAGAGTTAGGTCTAGTTACCTCCAGGACTCTTCTGGACTGATCAGTCAAAGTGCCTTCAGAAGTCCTCAGTTTGAATCACTGATCTCAGTCCACATCACTCTACAAACATACCTGTGTCAGTTTTCCCCTAATCCTTTCAGCCTCCAGGTAGAAAGTGGGTGGCAGCTTCTTGTGACTGGGAATGGTAACCAGGTTTACCAACCTCAGATCAAAGGTTCTACATGAGTGAGAACCACCTTAGCTCAGCTGTCTTAGCTGCCGTGTTTGCCATCTTCGGGTGCGTGGTCCATGCTCATCCTGGAACCAGTTCTGAGTTTTACTGGAGCCAAGTCTCTGAGGCTCCTCTCCCAGTTCCAGCAAGAGTATCTGCACTTGGCTTCCTGCCTTGTCTGTCCCTTCTGCCCCACCCTTTGGGGATTCCAAGCTTTTCAAGGCAGAATTTGCAGGAGTACCTCAGCTCATTATCTGAGGAGAATGGCAGGATGAGTCATGGGTGAGCACAGCCACTGCACACGAAGATGTGTGCTCTCCCCCTCGTCATGGGTGAGCTGCTCCTTCATTTGGTGTCTGGCTGACACTCAGAGCAGCCCTAGTCATCTGGTGAGCGCTTGGTCCCACATCCGTCCTGACTTCAACGTCCAGACACATTCTCACAGAGCTCTCAACCCCAGATCTTCGGATATTTAGTTGGGTGGTTGGGGGGGGGTCACATCTTACTGGACCAGAGATGCAATTATTCCTCAGGCAACACCGTGTCACCCCATTTTAAGAAAAAGCCACCAATGAACCTGAGAACTTCTGATAGAAATTTCATGGCGCCTTCTGCTATCGACTTTCCCAGAACTGCCTCACCTCCATCAAAAATAAATTTCCCAGGTTACCATGATTATCTTCTTTTACAAATCAAGAATCCCAAATGCTCCTACGCACATAACTAGATACAGGAGAAACTCCACAAACGGTTTAGTCTGATTTCACTTAAGAAAGATGTTAATGAGCTTCACATATTCAATCCTTGGAGCAGATGAGAGACTTGTACAGTAAATCAAGTCTACTGTGTAAAAATGAATAGAAGCAAGCACACAGAATGTTCTAGAGCAATGTTTCCCAAACCTGAATGTCCATGGCATTTCCCTGGGACATTGTTAAAGGGAAGATTATTATTCAACATATCAAGGGTGGGATCTGAGATTCTGCATTTGATATATGGGCTTTTAAAATCAATGTCATAATTTCTTTGCATCTTCAGGGGTTCCTATAAAATAATATCAGGGTCTTATTGTACAAACAGCCCTTTCTGGAGGTTGGCGGCCCCAGTGTACAGGTTGGAATTCCTCAAGCTCCGTAATTTCCTCCCTTGTCCCTTCCCACAGTCCTAGATCCTTAGCCTGCTTCTCTGGTTTTCTGAGCATTATGACCACCTGACTCTGTGTACTTTGTTGTTGCTGTTTGTTTACTTGAGTGTAAGCCCAGTGAAGGCAGGGCCCTTGCTTACTTCATTCTCTGCTGTGTCAGCAGGATGCAAATGGTGCCTGGCACATAGAAATGCTCAATGAGTTCTTATTGAACAAATGCCATGTAATCATCATCAGTCCAGAAACACAGCTCCAAACACAACAAACTGATCCAGCTGCATGCTATTTGACCATTCAACCCTCCAATTATTTGGAACCCATGCAATATTTGGAACATACTTATGCTAAAAAAATATTCCTTGCTTATCTGATACTTGAATGTTTCTGTGCATCCTGTATTTTATCTGGCCACCTTACAAAAAGTCTAAGCTTTCATCCTGTTTCATAGATAAGACTAAAGCAAAGATGAGTTAAATGTATGCATAGAATTAGAAGAAATCTTTGCTGCTATTTGGATTAATTGCTTTAAATGCAGAAATAGAGATCAATGAAGAACTTGCTATTCTGTGACACAGGTGAGAACTGAGTGAGAACGGCACCTCCTCTCTCCTCTCTCCCCATCATTCAGTCACAGGTCAAATATGCACTGAGGGCCTCATGTGTACCAGGCACAGCTTGAGGCTCAACTAGACAGTGTCTCCATCTGAAGGATCAGATGGGGCCATGGGATCTCTCTTCTCCCACAGGGGTTAGGTTGCCTCCTGCTGCAGAACAAAAACCAGTAGGCAGATCAGAACGGGGAAGAATTCCAAAAAAGCTGCCTGACAGATGCCCCCCAGCTAGTTAGTTAGCACAGATTTGCTCACAAGGTTCTGAGCCTTACTCACAAACATGGGCTAGGCTGGTCGTGAGCCATCATCACCCAAAGATCAGGTACAAACTTCCCAAAGTTACACTCCTTCTCTCCCCCTCCCTCCTCAGCCCTCATTTACTCCACCATTCTGGGGAGAGCTGCTCCTTGAAATGCAAAAGATAAGGTGTGACAAAATTCCAGTGATTCCTGTTCCCATTCCAGTCCTAGAAGTACTTTTGGAAAAATTGCTTATGGAAAAAAAAAATCCAGTAAATCAATATTTGAAAAAATATTCAGGGCTGGGGATGTGGCTCAGTGGTGGAGTACTTGCCTATAATGTGTGAGGTCCTGAGCTGGATCCCCACTGGGGGGGAATAAAAAAATGTGCAGTGTCTCTAGAAATGAAAGAATGACAAATGAAAATAATAAATTACTATTTTTTCACTTGTAAAATATTCAAAGTATTCTCAGGCAAACACTCGCTGAAGACAAGATCTCCAGGAAAGACACATTCTCATCCCCTGTTGGTAGCCAGTTGACATGACCATTAGCAGTAGGACACCTCTGCCTCTGCAGAAAGCAAAGCAACTTAGAAACATGTTCTCTACGATTGAGTGAAAAAAAAAGGAAATTTCCAGATCTCATAATGTGGATGATCTTTCAACTGCTTATAAAAAATATGTACAATAAAGATTGGGAGAAAGCACATAAAGATGTCAGGCATGGGATTCCTTGAGCTTGCCTGAATTTTCAAAGTCTTCCACAACAACCACACACAGGTAGCCTCCCCTCCTACTGACCTAGGCAGAAAGTGACCCCTTCACACCACACCTGTGTGGCCAGGTCTACTGGCCACTTTCTGTTCAATCTTATTGCTGAATTGGGCTCCATCATTTCTTGACTGGCAACTATGCCCTTGGAAAATTAGGACCCATTTGGCATTCCCTGTCACCTCCCCAGACCCCCCAGGCTGGGGATGCCTGTGGAAGGACTGAAGTGTGCAGCCTGACTATGGGAACTTGAGACCCTTCAGATGTTCTCCCGGAAAACCTGTGCCTCTCACTGCCCTTCCCTTCCTGGTGAATAGCCTTCCATTTGTTCAGCCAAACCCCAGGGTCAATCCTGACCCCTCTCTTTAACTCACCCTCCCCACCTCCAATTAACCAGCAGTTATTATCAGCTCTACCTTCAAACTAGATCCAGCATCTGATCCTCTGTCTCCGGGCAGGGCCCAACTATTGGTGGCTGGGCTCAGACCAGGAAATGAGCCTCCTGAGTTCTAGGGCTCATTCTCCCCACACCTAAAGCCTTCTAGATTGGAATGAATTATTTAGAATTGTCCCTTGTTCTTCCACCTCTCCCAATCCTTTCTGACCACCCACTACCACTGTCCCAGGAAAATCCTTTGCCTAACTCGGTCCTATTTGGGGCATTTTAGGTAATAGCTAAATTTATTCATTGATTCATTCAGTAAACACGTACTAGGCCCCTACAGAGTGCCAGGCAGGATTCTCTACAGTGTGTAAAACCAGAGCTAAACCCTGCTCTCATCATGGGGGCAGAAAACAGTCAAATAATTGCACAAAACAAATATGTACCTGCAGCAATGATGCAATCCACATGTTATGAACTAAATATGTAGGAGGCGGGTAAAAAATCTGCTAAAAGAGGAGGGTTTGACCTAATCAAGGACTTTCCCGGAGGAACTACTGCTGAGGCAGTTCTGAAGGGTGAGCAGTTAAGTAGCAAGGGAGGGGAGAATGTTGGAGCATGAGCAAGTGCCTGCCGTGGGAGAATGTGCTACAAATAGACAGACACCTAGAGAAAGTCAGTGTGGCATGGGTGGAGAGAGCTAGGGGAAGGGGGCAGGAAGAGAGAAGGCTCAGGAGAAGAGTAGGGGTCAGGGGCTGTAATATACGACATGTACTACCAGTTGACACCCAACGTCCATTCCCTCACCCTCATTTTTAGCTGGACTATGACCACTTAGAATAAGATTGCATTTTCTAGTTTCAGCTAGCAATAGCCATGTGACTAAAGGCTGTACAGAAGAGTGAAAAATGTTATAATTCCTCCTTCTGTAGCCTGAAGGTTGGTTGCAATGGCTGGAGCCCAAGCAGGCCTCTTCAATCATAAGGTGGAAACCATATATGTAATGATGACAGAGCAGAGAACTCAAGTAGCCTGGGTACTCCGTGACTTTTAGGAGTTGCT